ATGCTTTAATCCTGCGGAGTCGAATCCCTTTTGCTTTGGCTTTGTCTCATCCTTCCCTTAGCCACCGGCCAAATTTGCAAAGGCTACGTTAGGTGCAGAGCAGATTTCCTTTTCTTATTTTATTTTGATTGCAACCAGGCAAATTCAGCTGCCTGCACTTTACATGCAAAGCTCCACAGACACACATGGAGCTTTAAAAGCAATTAGAAAATCAGCCTTGTCATTTGCAATCCATGGACTGCAAAAAACCACAGTAATGACTCCTATTTTAACACTGATGACTTTTTTGGGAGAGAGGGTGAAGTGCCATTTAGAATACATATGCTCGCTTGCCTTTATTTTGCACGGAATTGGTTTTAAAATGGATAAAACCCCCTGGGTTCTCAGAAAAAGAATGATTCTTTTTCTTTCCCCCTTCTCCCTAATAGCATGCAGTTCAGGATTGTTTTGCTGGGAAGTAAGTTCTGCTTAATAACAGCAATCCTTTTATCTTTCCTCTTCGTAAGGCCACCCTTTTACGCCTTTTATGTATTTCTCAAAATTACTGGTCCCCCACACAATCTCTCACCTTTACTCCTTCCCATAAATTGAATTCCAAGCCTTCCCTGCTCCTGCTTTTAAGATTTAGATGAAAAAAAGTGGCAATGTAAGACAGGATACACCTCTGTTCAACTTTTCACTGTGCTGAGGTATAAAAGCAACATAGCTTCCAACCCCCATGCCCGAGCCCATATCCAATTAGTGCTGGAATTCAAAACCCTGCATTTCCAGGACTTCATCCTTTGACCATATCTCTTCCTCTTGACCAAAAGAATTTTGCTTTTCAAAAAAAAGGTCCTAGAAAACAATTACCCCTTTTTCAATATGTACGATAGCCATTGCCATAGAGCGTGCATGATTACAATCTGAGAGATGAGCCTCAATAGGAAATAGGAATTTTAAGGTAACTTGGAGCCTTGGTTCTCTAATGATTTTTAAAAAGTTCACACAATCCTAGATAACGTTAAATACCGGTTTTCTATAAAGGCTGTTTCTCCTTCACCTCAGGTCCTTGGTGTCAGCACTGTATTGACTTTGATGCAGCACCATGTAGGAGCAGTGTGAGTAGATTGTCAGTAGTAAAGGGTCGTACACGGCTTATAACATCTCTACTAAAATGATGGCACCCCGCCCCCCACCTTCCCTTCATTTTGTTTGCTTGGAGATATCAGGATTTAAAGTCCTCTGCTTCTGGCTCTTATCACAATTATACATTTGGTGTTGATAGCTTTTAGGGGAAAGTTATTATTAGGCAACTTTTCACTTTTATCTCTTATCACTTTCCACTCCAGAAAGCCTTATCACTCCTTTCACTAAATGTATGATAATTGGAACTTTGCAATTACAGGTACAACACATACAGATTTAATGGGCCAATTTGACAAGCTAAAAGAATTCTAGTTCCTTTATCTATTAACACTTTAATAGAGCTTCAGCCTAATTAGTCTGTAATTCTAGTTACCAAGGTAATTGCTGGTAACTATAATAATAAATACAGAAGATCAGTTGGTGCAGAATTGACCAGATCATACTGTAGGATTTAAGGCCTTAGTCCTCATGCAAATAGATGTGTTCAAAGACTTTATTTAAAAAATGGAACCAAAACTTTTGTGGTGGGTTGAAAAAAAAAACCAAACCAATGGACCAGCCTGCGACCAAGAGACGACACTAGAAAAAGTTGGATGCCGAGATGAAGAACCTTTTAACTGAAGTTTAAATATTATGGTACTGGTATCTATTAATCCTATTGCTCAAGATATGGCACAGCATATTGTGAGGTTTGCTCGTCACTGTTCTAATCATTTCAGTTACTTAATGCTCCTCTCTTAGTGCCTTGCTCTATCTGATAGACCTCATTTTCTACATATATTATAACCTCATCAAGGTAGGGGCTGCTTTTTAATTAAGTCTGTGTACCAAACCTCAATGAACCAGGGCCCTGAACCCAGACTACAACCCAGTACTAGAACACACAACTCAGTATTAATAATGGGATTACCAGTCCTTTTTTCTGTAGCAACAGAAGCCCATGACAGCAGAGTACAGCTGTGGGGTGGCTGGATGCAAAAAAGACATGCGAGAGGCCTAAGCCCTTTATGCAGTGCTTTGTACAACACACTTGCCAACCCTGGGAGCACTTTGAAAATGTCAGAGCTTAACATACATCCAGCAAGTGGCTGGACAATCCTAAATCCATTCAGTTTAAAGGTCTTGTGTAAAGTGGAAAGTCACAGCTATTTGAACTTGTGTTATGTGTAGATCAGGCTGAACTCTGCTGTTCTGGGCATCGAGATATTGGAGAAGCACAGCAGAGAAAACTTCAGCCTTCATTTGTTTTATATCACACGTACACTTCTATGGCTGCACATGTCTGCATCGGAGATTGTGGCTGCGTTCCTTTGGTACATATGGGAACGTGCACTGTACACATGTGTGTGCATACACACACACACACATGCACGCACGCACACACATAAAACTAAGACATGGAGTTTTACTTTATATAACAGGAGCGTTTTTTGAGCCCAGCTCCACGAGAGTTGTTTGAAACCTTCTCTGTCAGGTCAGAAACCAAACCAATGTAACAAGAGGAAAAAAGAAAATGTCTGTAAGAAAATGTTTGATTTCCCTCTACACAGTTTAGTACAGCGGGAGAACAGAAAATTATTCCCTTTCTGATACGCTGGCCCTGTTTTCCTACAAGGTCTAAACTACAACCAATTTCAAAAGACAAGAACTTTGTCTTCCTCGGGAAGATTTGTTTTTGCTCTCAGAGGGGCTGGAGTCAGTAGAGCTATTGGGTGGGGGGGGAACCTCAAGTCAAGACACACCATACTGTCACGCTTGTTCATTTTAATCTTTAGATGTCTTTATTTTTTTGTTGATTGTGGAAAAGTATGAGTAACAACCACACAACCCTGTGCACATGATAAGCAACACCTATTTCTACGCTCTTCTAGTCAAGCATTGGGTATGAAATCAGTGATTAGTCAGCAATAAGACGGCATCTGTATGCTAGGGTCCAATTATCTCAAAATGTGCAGCCGCCAGTTTGTAACTGTTGACAGTTGGAGGTCAGTGCCCAAGCACAGATAAATGCACTGGCCCATGACTGATTGCCGAAGCAACATTGCTCTCGTGTAGACGAGGCTTGGATCAGGCCCATAGATCAGGCCCTTCCGCAGAAAGACTTCGCCATCCACGTCCAAGAGCAGCACCAGATACACGTCTGTGTTAGTCCCGCAGCACCCGAACTACCGCACCCTCGGTTTGTTTTGCATCCTTGTTCTGCTCGTTACATATTCACGTCGTCCGAGCTCAGGCACAGTAACACAGAACTCAACCAACTCGATATCGCAATGTGAACTACATATTTTAAAACGTACCATGCCATTCAAAATTCATGTGCGCATATTTGATCATTCAGTCTAAAACCATGCTTTGCCCTTCTGTAGCTCTCACATTAACAAAGCTTCGGCACAGGCATGGGGCTGGTCAGAAAGGGTTTTTGCCTCCCCCGTGGAAAATTCTGGGTACATTTTACTTACGTTTGCAGCAGAAAACATTTACTTTTCATGGGAAAAAATAAGCAAAGTATCGTTGCAAGGAAAGACCATCACATCACATGGAGGCAGAAAATGTATATCTGCAATGCATCGTTTAAGCTTTTACCCTTATTATGCACAAATTATTTGTATTATCCTAGGACCTAGAAGCCCTAGTTGTAGATCAGGAACCTAATGTGCTAGGTGCTGTACATACAGCCCCTGGACCAAAAGGCTTTGGTATAATGAAAGAGAGACAGACAGAGAGATTGGGAAGTACAGGGCAACAGTGAGATGTACTGATCAGCATGAGAGGCAGTAATCTCAGCACCTCAAGGTAGGGATTTTGTGGCTATTGTGGCCACGGAGAGTTTTCAGAAGGCACCAAAAGGAGAAAAATGAAGTGGCTTTGGGGATCTTTCCCAGGTGCTCCTTCCAGAAGTGAGGGGCAACATGAGACAAAAGCATCAAGGTGTCCATTTGAAAATTAAATAAATGAACGATAGAGGTGGGCACCAGGCGATGATTGGAGGTAGAAGCCAACCGGTCAGTACTAAATGCGAGATGATAGTGAGGTTGGGATAGGCCGAGAAAGACCCTGAGAACAAAGTTTCGGTAAAGAATGGAGAACCAATGGCGGGATGGAAAGGGGGGAGGGGAGGGGACATGACCAAAATGACTGGCTAGGAAAATGATCTTTGAAACTGCTTTCTGAATGGCTGTAAAAGGGGCAAGAGGCCATTTGTCAAGCCAGAGGCAGAACATTGCAGTGATCAAGACCTGTGCTGATGGGCACCTGGCTCAAACTGTGAGCTATGTGGGTGGCAATGAAAGGCTAGATGTTAGAAATGCAACATGGGAAGAGTCTGCAAGATTTCAAAACAGCTTGAAAGAGAGGCCTTGCCAACACGAAAAAGAGCAAGCGATTGTTTTGGGGGAGCACTAACAAATGTACTCACTAGGAACGTGAGTAGCGTTTTTCCTCTTTTCTTCTACTGTCGCAATTAATCCAAGGCATAATGGTTGGTTTGGGATGACGATACGGTGCTTATGGGAAGAAAGTTTCCCCAAATAACGTTAATGTTTCTTTCCTGTTTGAGGGAGAATTATGTCCATGGTGCAAGTGAGGCACACTAGCAAAAGGAGGTGGAGAAAGGGAATGGAAATCCAGGTGCTCTTTGATGAGGGCTGCTCTGTTGCAGTGTCAGAGAGGAAACAAGGTGGGGGGCTGTGGTTTTCTTCCATTCAAAAGCAAATTTGTCCATCTCAAAAAAAAAAAAAGCGAGAGATTAATTCCCTTAGGAGGAATTAAAGAGGCAGTAAGTGGTGTTCCAGCACAGCTACAGTGATACAGAAATATGGGAATAGCAGGCAGGAGAGCCTTTCATTAGACAACAAACAGCCAAGCCAAGTTACCTGCTGATTACCTTCTCACCCGTAGCAAGCTGAGTTTGACTGTTTTCTCCCGGTCTTTCAGCTTCATCTTCTTTCCTTTCATGGCTGCAAGAGAAATGACAGCAGTGGCAGCTGAGCATGACAAGGAGGGTTCTGACATTGAAATGAGGCATTAGCCTGTGGCAGTCTAAAAGGAGGACAAGAAAGCAACAACTTAACAGAAATTAATGCATGTAACATATAGGATACTACTATAAACCCCTGCAGTCACTAATTATGTCCCTGGTGAGAAGAGTGGTGCTTTGGCTGGAAGCCTTAGAGAAGGTAACATGGTTTATCCATGTGCAGCGGTGTATAGCAAATGCATATGCTTAGGAGACAGAGAAAACTTTGCCAATGACCATCTCTTTGGGGATGGAGTTTCCACAGCCTTAACCCAAATCATCTTTGTCATGCATAAGGCAGGCTTTGTAAAACAAGTGCCAACAAAAGGCAGACAAAGCACTCTGGGGGTTCTGCTGCAGTTGGCATCTCAATGAAGTCACAGCTAAAGTCTGGATTAAAAGAGAGTAGTTAGGATCTGGGTCTGAAGAGAAGATGAGTGTATTTATATAATGTCCTGAGCTTTACAGGAAAAAAAAAAGTCTCAATTCATCACAACAGGATAATATTAATCAAAATAATAATACTGATCTTAAAAATCTATTTTTTGTTTATTCTAGACAAAAGCCCTGGCTGGGATGATCTAGCTGGGGCTGGTCCTGCTTTGAGCAGGGGGTTGGACTAGATAACTTCATGAGGTCCTCCCAACCCTCATTTCTATGATTCTGTTTATACTAAAGAGGCACTTATAGCTAACTTCAAAGGCCCAATGGTATAATATGGATAGGAACAGAAATTAGACATGAATTAGTATATGTGATCAGAAACTGGTTGAAACCTGTAACACAACAGAAGTTCAGTGCACAAACTGCTTTCAAAATGGTCAAAACCAGTTTAAGATAAACCTGGATGGATGTAGTATCAGACTTAACTGATGTAGGTTAAATTGGTTTATTGAACTTCTGTTCCAGATCCCTTCCAGATTCAACTTAATTCACAGTCCCCCAACATCCCACAATGCTTTGCACTTCCCCTGCAAATTTCCCCTCACAGGGTGGGCAGGCTAGCCTTGGCCCAAGCTGTCTGCTCCAGCGCCCCCTGGCTTCTGACCTGAGCCACTGCAGGGATGTGGCTGCATTTCCAAATCAAAAGCAAATGTCTGTTCACTTGCTTGTCAGTTCAATCTATGCAGTTTCAACTAACCTGTGAGGACTGAATTGATTCAGCCTCAGGTTTTTTGACTGCCTGTACTTAGCCCAAGTGTTTAAAGCAATTATCCTAGTGCTGTTCAGGAATCTGAATTTCCCTCCCACAGAAAATTCCAGTTTTTAAAAAAGCAAGAAAGAAAAAATAATTCTGCAGGGACAGGAGGCAGGGTGGGAGAAAGGCAGACATCAAAATGTTCACATTTCCCCTAGCATTTGGGTTAAACAAAACATTATGTTTTTAAAAATCCTTATATGCACAATGTTATGCTAGAGTGAAAGTCACCAAGGCAATGCAAAAAGTTAATATGGTACTTGCAGGGAAAAGCAAAATAGACTTTTATATTAGGTCCGCAGTGCCGTGGAACCATTTGGCAGGAAAGTAGATTTGTAAACAGCTGGAGAGCTAGAACACAGGTGCAGAGGCCAGATACTTCTTTGTACTTTTTCAGCAGTTGAAATAGGGCTTAAATCCTGCTTAAGTGGCACTCTGAGGATGGCCTCAATAGGCATGTCTACATGTCGCCCTGAGGCAATGTAGACATGTGCTACATCGCCATATGGCGCGCTATGATGATGTAGCAATCGTGTGGGTCTACCCGTGATTGCTAGCTATGTCCAGGGGTCAAAAAACAAACAAACAAACAAAAAAACCCAAAACCCCCACCCCAAAAAAACCAACCCACAACAAAAAACCAAACCTAACAGAGCAGCGCATGCTTGAGCAGCATGCCCTTGCAGCACGGAGAACTCCAGATTGTGCGGTATGCCCATGCTCATCTGGATGTGCCTACCAAGTGTAACTGAAGTCATTAACTGTACTTTGGCTAAACAAGGCAACGGGTGAATGAGTGTCCTCTCTTCTCTTTGCTTGTACAAGAAGAATGGCTCCAGTAGCATCATCCAAATATCTTGGCATAAACAGAACATGACTAACTGCATCAAAGATTAGTCTAGCTGCCAGGCCAGAAAGTTAACTGTAGAACCATAGACAGACAATGAAGCTGTAGTGTGCAGCTAATAACCATAGGAAGCCACTCTGGCCATTCTTCTGTTTGATCCTCTACCAGTTCTGCCAGTAGCTCTTTGGGCTGTATTTCTGTTGACAAGAAACACAGCGGCTGGAGCTTCTCACAAGCAATAAAGAAATTATTTTGCCAAATGGTTTAGCTGCCTTTGTCTCCCTCTGCCCTTTCTCTATGATTTATGATTTTAGATACAGTTCACACTTCAATGGCTGGAAAGGCTTGTGAACGTATGATGCTTTCCAGCTCTACTTGTTCGAGAGAAGAATCCATAGCATAAGTTTATTTTCACTTGTAAGATGCATAACAAGGCATGACTAAACCTTGAAAAGGCTTGCAGAGCACTGTGGTGGTTGCAGAAGGTGAATTCCTTCTGTAAATTATAGTTTTATTATTTTCACAAAGCAAATAGACTTAGCGGAAACCTATACGCATTTCTGATTGCTTGATATTACCGTCATTCCTAGAGTGACCGCTGCTTACTGTCACAACCCAGTTAATCAGTGCCCATGCCACTAGCAAGAGATACCATTCAAGTAGTCAACTAAGGGTTAAAAAAGAAATTCTTGCCAGAAACTCCTGAAACAAAATCCTGGCGGAGAGCTGTATATAATTTATGCCCACGTCACAAACAAGAAACGAAACTTAAGACTGGTCAGGGTGAAAGGGGATAGCCCTGCCATAAATCCCTGCAATTGGTCAAGAAACAAGCGTAAGCCCCTCATCATAACCTCATACGTAACAGTCAAAAAAACCTAACCCACTACCTTGTAACCTGATAGCAACCTGAGAGCACAAAGAACTGCTGCTTGCCAGAAAATTAAAGATTCCACGTAACGGTTCATCATTGGGCATCTCTATCAGACACCTCTGTCTATAAATAGTTTAACAACTTCCACCCAGTCGGAGAACCCCGGAGAAACCTCTGAGGAGAGACCTGAGTCCATCACCAGAGTAGATTGACGGTCTGATCAGCTGTCAATCTCTCCCCGTCATCGTTAATTTTGACGTAATAAAGCCCTGCAGGCTCGATAGTCCGTTCTCGGCGCGCTTTGTTCGTCATCGCTTGATATACGTTTGACTGTAATCGATGCAACTGTAACAGGAACAAAGGCTCAGCCTGCGTCGCACGTCACTATCTGGGCGACGCAAGTAAACAATCTCCTGTAACCAACACGCGTCTGTGCCTGGTTAATTTCACCCCATCCATCACTACCCGCCTGTCAGGTAAAAGTTTTACTGCTCCGGTGAGGGGAGGTCAGAAAGCAGCTGCCGGCGCTGCTCTGATCTCCGATACTTACTACCTGGATGCAGCAGGAAATAGGATTTAAAGGCCTTAATTACAAGAGGCTTTAAAAAAAAAAAAAATCAAAATGCTGTATGAGGCCATCTTCCTGATGCTGGCAGCGCAAGACTCCTAAGAGAGTGACTCCAAATAAGATTCAGATCACTTTTGTAATCATCCTCTAAATAGCATTTAATGTTCAGGTGTTACACATGAAGGGTTGTACGTACAATGAGATTTTGTTCACACCTGCATTTGGTCCCATGCCATTCTGCACATGCAGATTTCACATGATGGCTTGGAAACACCACGTCTGAAAACGAGGCACGTACAAGACGGGACCCACATGCAGACATCCACGTGCTCCCATGTGTGTGCACATGGAATAGGGCACAAAAACTGGAGACGCATGCAAATTGAGAATGTTTTTCAAATTAAGCTCTAAATTGTTGTAAAGCAACATTTTATCATGACTAAAGCAGGCTGTAAACTGGTTCACAGAATCTTCCTTTGGGGTATCATGCTGAGAGTGAACAAATGATTCTCTTTACAGCAAGCTCTAGACATAATGGATAAAAAGATTTGGAAAATGGTTGGGTAGGATAGCAGGACTTTTTAAATGATCTAAAGTAGATATGCTGCTGGTACAAAGATACATATGCATGGGCTGTGCACTTCTTAGCCATTAGCAGTATTGTGTCCATGTATTTAAGGTACTTTTATGGCTCCTATTACTAAGGCATCCTTGACATCATTCCTTTTCCATTGAATTTACTTATTATGTTATTCATTTCTAGCTCCATCATGGATTTCTGGTGTAAAAGATATAGATGTGATCATTTAGCATGACTTCCTGAATAACAGGTCAAAGAAACGCATCCAGCAACTTCTGCACCAAGCCCAAATCTTGTGTTTGAATTTTGCACCCCTTTTAGAAAGGCAGCCAGTCTGGACTTAAAGAAGATGAACAATAAAGAATCCACTATGTCCCTAGAGATGTTGCTCAAACAATTAATTACTCTCACTATTTCAACAAAAAGGTATGTCTGAAGTTACCTAACCTTAGCTTCCAAACACTGCATTTTTTTTTCAGACAGATTAAAAAGCCATCTCCTATCAAAAATGTCTTCACCTATGCAGGTACTTGTTGATCATGATGAAATCATCTCTGGACTCTTTCTTCTATATGTTAACTAGACTGAACTTCTTAACACTGATATTCTAGGCTCAGAGTCATTCCTGGAGCTCTTTTCCCAACCCCTTCCAGGTCTTCTCCCTCTGACACTCTCATGGGCAACATCACTCTTTAATATTGCTGTATGCACTCTGATTTTAAAATGAACTATTATAAATGTCCCTTGCATTGTATAGACAAAGCACCTCTTACCTTGTGAGCCTTGAGACTAAACTAAACTAAAATAGTTGCAGTTTTCCTTCACTAGGAACATGATGTTGCTCACGAATGTGCCCTAAGTCTGCACAACACAG